ATTAAGTTTATTTCTGACTGTGAGTCCGAAAGTGAATTTCGTGAATTTGGTGAATTTCGTATCCAGGCAACATAATTGGCATAGTGCTATCCTAATGGCCTCTATTTCTTCTTCAAAAGCGGATCTATTGTGTCCCGCTGCTACGTAGAAAGAGAAGAGTTCAGAATAGACACCTGCACCAATGTTTGCTTGATTTTCAATGCGTGACCCATCAGTGAAGACTTGGAGCCATAGTCCTCCAGGATAGTTGACATTAATTGTCTCAAGGGCCAATGAGCGCATTTGCTCAGGAGGGGTGTTTGATTTCCTAAAATATTCGAGCGGTTGGGTGCAACACACTACATCAGTGTCTGCTAATGGGTTCATGGGGAGAGAGTGGCTTTTTGGTTTNATAGATTTATTTATTTCAAATGGCAGGCTTTATGGTATTCATCATTCCGCATAGCCCAAGGTTGGGAGGGGGGTACATTTATAGCAGTGAATTAATACCAATTCATTAGCTGTCTTCTTGCTTCCCAGTATCTTTGGCTTTCCGTAATTGCCTTTAGAGATGGACATCGAATCAGGTGGGTCTTCATTGTGTGGAAAGACGTCGGCCGGTCCTTGCATTGCGAAATCGTTGTCCCCTTCTTAGCAAGTGTGTCTGCAAGCTCATTGCCTTTAATGTCACAGTGACCAGGAATCCATTGTAGGACCAATGTTTTGTTTTTCTCTCTCAGCAGCTCATAGAGTTTTCTACATTTCTTTATCTTAGTTGTTTCGGATGGCTCTCTTTGCTTGATATTAAGTTTATTTCTTACTGTGAGTCCGAAAGTATCACCGCTTTGGTGAATTTCGTATCTAGGCAACATAATTGGCATAGTGCAATCCTAATGGCCTCTATTTCTTCTTCAAAAGCGGATCTATTGTGTCCCGCTGCTACGTAGAAAGGGAAGAGTTCAGAATAGACATCTGCACCAACGTTTGCATGCTTTTCTATGTATGACCCATCAGTGAAGACTTGGAGCCATAGTCCTCCAGGATAGTTGACATTAATTGTCTCAAGGGCCAGTAAGCGCATTTGCTCTGGGGAGGGGGTGTTTGATTTCCTGAAGGAGTCAAGCAGCTGAGTGCAACACGCAACATCAGTGTCTGCTAATGGGTTCATGAGTAGGTGGAGGCAATTTGTTTGCCATCGATTTGTGATTCTTTCTTCAGTTCTATGGCTTTCTGTATTAAACCAGAGATTCTTTCTTCAGTTCTATGGCTTTCTGTATTAAACCAGATTGCCTTTTCAGATGTCTTGGTCTATTCTCAGAGGTGCTAAAGAACTTGTCCATGCGAATGTGCAGTAGCTTCTCATACAGAATCAAGGCAATTTCTTTCTTAATTTCACCGAACTGTCTTACTTGTATCTTTAAATCTCTTGAAGATTTACTGACAAAGGGGTTTTTCTTTTGCTTGTGGGAATAGAACCTTGCAAAGCAGTTAGCTATCTCGATGTCGGTGGTAAGCAATTTGCTGTTTAAGTGTATTGGTTCTTTCTTGGGTCTTTCTCTGTAATTTTGCAGGTTTCTCAGAAATTTGGAAGTGCGTTGGCAATCACTTTGATAGTTGATATTTGGGATGAAATTGCCGAAGGAAGTCCGTTCAGCTTGTAAAATGGCTTGTCATAGGACAGCTGACTGCTGTCTCCAGGCTTGTAAGTCTTCCATTCTTCCAGTCTGATCATCAGCATTGCAAAGGACGTCCCTCTTTCTTTACACTTCCTCAAGGCGTTTAGACCAAAATACTCGATAGTGTTTAGTCTTGCCTCTGGGAATAGTTTTCTTTGCACATCTGATCATAATATTCGTGATAGCAGTGTAAAGTTTGCCAGGATGTTGGTTGAAGTTGAGGGGACTTATGTGAAGTTCATTCTCTTAAAGGTTTGTGAATCTTGAAGTTCCATGATAGCTTAGTTGGCACTTTCCTTGTCATGCTTTTGTTGCCGATGGTAATGCTAGCAATGACTGGTTTGTGATCAGAACCAGGATCGTCAATTATTTGCGTCGTGTATGCTCGCTGATGTCGCTTGAAGCCAGGAGCAAGTCAAGAGTTGTTCAGGTTCCATTGTAGTGCAAATATGTAGCCGGTTCCTCATTGCTGTAAATAAGTTCCAGATGGCTGCTGTTTAGCAAGTCTTCGATTTCCTTTCCAACTATGTATTTATTCTTAAAGCTCCATCTGGTGGAATGAACGTTGAAGTCTCCTAATACTAGAGTGTTTTGTGAGATATTTAGAAAGTCAAAGTCGGGACAATTCTGGAGCGGATTATAGACTGCATATACCTTGAAATCAGAACCAGGATCGTCAATTATTTGCGTCGTGTATGCTCGCTGATGTCGCTTGAAGCCAGGAGCAAGTCAAGAGTTGTTCAGGTTCCATTGTAGTGCAAATATGTAGCTTAGAATTCCACTTGCAACTTGCCGGTATTTAGGTAGAAGGTACAGGGTGTAACCTAGAATTGATAGTACTTCAGTTTGTCATCCGAAATGTTTGCTTCCATAATTGTGAAAATGTCTACACCAAAGGTTTGTAGGATTTTCTGGACTTGGATCTTTTTGTCCGGTGACAAATAAAATGCTGCAATAGTTTCAGTAACTAGTCGGCAGTTTGAATGTAGCATTCTAGTAGGCCTACGCAATCAATATGGAAATAAATTAAACTTCATAACATCATTTGAAAATTTGGGTTGTGCCAACGACACGTGCAACGATATCATAGCGATTTATCGTTATCTATTTGTTGGTCTTGCTCTGCCTCCATTTCTAAATGACAAAATCAATCCTGACAAATATCTGACCAAAATGAATTTCCCTACATCCATGTTACTTTTCATAAGCACCTCCGTATATAAATCATCAAATGGGCTTTTGATTTTTATTTGAGACATAGAAAAGAGGCATTCAACGATTTCTTCGAGAATAGAATTTTAAATTTCTGATTTTCTAACACGTAACATTAGAAATGGTGTTGACTGCAGCTAATCGTTAGATCTGCTCAAAAGTTGGATCAATCAAACATTGAGTTAGTGCGGATCAAAATTCGCAAACATAGAGAGAGTTGAAATTGTCGTGTATCTTCTATATCAAATCATATGTCTGCCAACACCTGAGTTGCAACAAGGACACTTGTAGTAGAGGAGTGCAATATTGCATAGCAGCTTTTATAAAATATGTGTAAGCTTGTATAAATAAATAACAATTATTAAAATGGCCATTTTCAAAAACCATCAATAATTACAACCCAGGTGATGGCTAAGAGGTATTTATGCAGCCTTACACTTACTAATTAAACCAACAACAGACAAACCACAACAGTGAAGACGGAGTTCCGACATTGGTACCATATTTTATGTACGTAGAGGATGTACACATCTCTACACCATTTACTTTGACAAGAAATTTTGCATAATTCAAAAGTAGATTGATTTTTCCCTTCTGTTTGAAAATTCTCTTCCGTTTTGTCTTTTATAAATTGAAAAAATTGGTCCAAATTATATAGTCCAGAAACTGAGATATACTTCTAAAGCACCATTTTACGCTATTTATCACCCCATTTTTTGAATAGATTCTTTTGCCTGACACCCATTCTCTTCAAGCCATTGGACTTTTAAATATGATAAAATTATCGGAAGACATTTAAAGAAATGAATGTAGGCAGACGGGTATATTGAATGGCAATTGAAGTAAAAAATTCTCTGTGAATGTGGTTTCGTTTTAATGATATTCTTCAACTTCATATTATTTTATTGGATAGTAAGCACATATTATTAATTTACATCTTATCTATTTTAATAACAGCATTATTATGGACAATGCGAATCACCTTGTTTTATTGGCCGGTATTAATTCAAAAATTTATTTATTGTTAATAATTGGAAAGCTTGTACCCCATTGAATTAGGCCAAGATAGAATTTTAGTGCTTTTTTCGTTCGGGTAATTTAATTGAAATTTTAACTTTACATTTCAAGTGCATAATATGCGTACTCCTATAATTTAAAAAATTACTTTCCATTTTAAATTTCTTTAAATTGGACTCATTGTGCAATATAAATAAAATTGGATGATATATATTGAAATACATATTTTGGCTGAATCAATTTGGATACCTCTGAAAACCCAAAATCGGATAGTGGTCGACAGGTTTGATAAATTGAAATGGTCAGTAATTCAATAATTTCAAAGGCGATATGAATTAGATCTTTTTTTCACAAAAAAATTAAATCATTATCATTTAAAATTATTCAAAAATTGCCTTCGTAATTTTTGGTTTTTAAGATTTGTGCATGAAAATGGAAATGTGTTATTCATTTCCAGCTTGGCAGTATTAAATGACAAATCATTTGCAAAATAACCACAAAAACTATTGAAGTAAAATCAATACTTAGTGAATATCTCTGTGAAAGTTGATGACAATTGCAAATTTTTTATTAGAATAAAATAATCAGCATCAGAATATATATGAAATTTGGCAGCCTGTGACACATTTTATGAAAAAGTATAAAAGAAAACATTGAATTAAATTATTCCATTCATATATATATATATATATATATATATATATATATATATATTAGGTTGGCAACTAAGTCATTGTCGTTCTCAAATAAGAAAGCACATTCGGAATTTTCTTTTAAAAATATAACTTTATTCAATTAGATATTGGCCGTTCTTGTCGATGACCTTTTTCCATCGTTCTGGCAGAGTAAAAATTCCCCGTTCGTAAAATACCATCCTTCTGGCAGAGTAAAAATTCCCCGTTCGTAAAATACTGTTCGTAAAATGTCTGGTCTTTGCTATTAAAAAAACTGAATTCTGGCAGAGTGAAAATTCCCCGTTCGTAAAATGTCTGGCCTATTAAAAAACTGAATTAGGGTGTGATCCTGACAGATCCGCGTTGTTACAAATTTTACCATTTAAAGAGTTTTGATGGAACGAAACAAATGATAATTCGAAGGCGCAAGACATGGAACGAAACAAATGATAATTCGAAGGCGCATGGAATTAAACAAATGGTAACCCGAAGGCTCAAGGTCAGGGCTATATGATGGGTGTGATAAAACGTCCCAACCCAGTTTCAATAATTTTTGCCGAGTAAACGAAGATGTGTGGGGCCTTGCGTTATCATGATGGAAAACAACACCCTTCCGCTGATTTGATAATGCCGGCCGCTTATCTTCAATTGCATCCTTCTTTCAGTTTTTCGAGTTCTTCAACATACACACTTGAATTTATCGTACGGTTCTGTGGCATGAGTTCAAAATACAAAATTCCTTTGTGATCCCACCAGACTACTGACAGCATA